ATTTTGGTGAGCCCAGCACCCGGTATGTCGGGATTTATAACGTAGACTCTTATAAAATGACCAGCAGTCAAAACATTTGAATAGCAATCCAGTTAGCTTAAAAAACACTGCGGTTAGCCTAAAAAGCACTCCGGTTGGCCTAAAATGCACTCCGGTTAGCCTAAGACGCACTCCGGTTAGCCTGAATAGCACTCCGGTTAGCCTAAATAGCTCTGCGGTCAGCCTGTTTACGGTTAGCTTTCAATAATGCTAAGGGTAACTTAGTCTCCTCCGCAGCCATTTTTTGGGTTGTCACGCAATGCTCCCCCAAAGAAATGGCTGCTCACATCCGAACCACATTCTTTTCCTTTTGTGTTTGTGGTTTGTTTGCGCTCTGTTGAACTGACCAATCACATAATAGCAAAGTGTGAATGACGTAATCTTTCGCGCGAAAAGGTCTGCGGTGCGAACATGCGAGGGATTTCTGGCTTTTGTTTCACGCCGCACGTCGCCAAAAATAGGCGGTGTTCGCAGGCTACGATCATGACAGACGAAAAAAGTGTAAATGAAAGTGCTTGATTTCCTGGTATCTTCCTTCTCGACAATAAGTTTTTGAGTTGAAAGTTTCTAATAATTAGCTTGAACCTTGAAGAGTCTTCAGCTACATAGAAAGCTGGTTCAAGCGTCGCCGGTATTTTTCGGCGTCCCCAAACAAAAGCCGGAAATCTGTCTGTTCATTTGTGACATCTCCCACGACGGGATACAAAGATAAAAGACATACTCTGATTGGACAAGTTTCAAAGGGCGAATTTGGCGCGAAAACGTTCTTGAAAATGGAACGGAAGCGGTGATTGGCTGATTTCGTGAAAGGAATGTTGTTCGGATGTGAGCAGCCGTTTCTTCGGGGGGAGCGTTGCGTGACATCCCAAAAAACGGCTGCGGAGGAGACTATCCAACATCGAGATCCTCAGGAAAACAGAACCAATTGTTTCCCTCGGGACCAGTAAATGTGTGTATTAAACCCTTTCCCTTACAGATAAGTCACGTGATTTAGTGACCCGACCGAAGTCGACTTCTCTTTTTGGCCTTTTGAGTTTACGTTGACTGTCTTTCAGCAGGCTCAGTAATTTATTGGCCAACGGAAAATGAGGTCTCACACAGTGGTTTTCTTTACCATATGAGCTTACCAAATCTATTGTAGAACATGCAGTACTGCTGTGAAGCTGGCGTCTTTTTGTTCTTTTTGTACAGTCTGGCATTGTTTATGCTGCGCCTCAATACACGGCTGAAATCATCAACGGAAAAAAAATAGGAAACAGTTAGATACACCATTTTACTTTAGCCAAATTTGCAGCATGCCATGGGTATTTTGGCCCGACTTCGTCTCACCAAAATACGAATCCATGGCTCGATCGAACTCGCCTCATATGCCGCGGAATCAAACTAAAAAGCTTCAATTAGGTATACATGTAAATATCAGTCCTTTAAATCTTTCGTCGTTTGCAAATGGTAGACTGAAAGACAGCTGGGGTTTTACTAGAGTTCAGTGACTGGAGTGGGAAAATCCTTGAGGCGTGGAAGAGCTTAAGTATAGCAAGGTCCTTATAGACTGACCAGCAGCGGCAAAGGGATCTTTGAAGTCTGGCTTGACCAACTGTACCCAAAACGTGTTGAATCATACACAGGATAGTTATATAAGATTACACGACTATATCACATTGTTTCTTAACGGAGTTACGTCACGGTTTGGGCATCTTCATTCTTGAAAAGTTTAGCCTATGTTCGTCGTTTGTAATCCGCGTTAATCTTCTCCATCCTTAACCACCCTTGTTTCTTTATGGTTTATTGATATCTCTTTGGTGTTTTTATTTTAGTTAACTACTATTTTTAGGTTTCCTTCAATTCAAAAGTAGTTTTGTACGTGGCCAAAACAACTCAAATACCGTGACTGAGCTCCTTTAAAGCCCACTTTATATTTTTCCAAAAAATTTAGCCTCTCTAGTAGAGCTCATTCTCCATCCCACCAAACGTCCACACACCCTTCCCATCTTCCCTCGCGTCACTCGTCCCGGTAAGGTACACACTAATACGCAAGTATCGATTTCATGAATTCGATTCAGGCCTTTTCTACCTTTCATCCAGTAATTAAAATGTTTGATAGAATACCTAGCAAGAATCTTGCTTGGAGTATTGCTGACTTTACTTCTAACCAGCGTAGTTGGAGTACGTAATATGACCATGTGTCCATTACTTGATCGCCTTCTGCTTGGGGGCATTTGACTTGATTTAGAAGAACTTGGTTCATTTGTAGAAACACGTCTGGGAGCTGAAAGGTACATGTAGATATAAGATATCAGTTATTATTACTGACTGAGCCATAGTTGAGATTGGTTCTACACTGTAGTTGACAAGAGACCGGCAACTTTCCCTAATAAAGAAGCTTGCATAACATGTAAAGGTACAAACTGCAGCTACTCAAAGTCCACTATCTCCGTTCCTACCGTATCTTATGATTAATACTTTTGAAGCCAAGAAAGGTTTTTGAAAGAGTTTACACTTCTACTGATACGAGAAAGAAAGAAATTGCCTGGAAGCAGGGGAATTTTTTCCTGTAAAATACACGTCTGTAAATATGCTCAGTGTATACCTTTACTGATTCTCTGGAGAGTCTTTCCTTTTGAGTCCATAAGAAACTTCTCACCCTGAATGTTAACGGTTTTTGTCAACTTTCCTACGGGAGTAAAGCGCTGTAAATTAATTTGTAGCTTAATTAAGAGGTGATCTTGTTGACAAATGAACACATATTTTGATCACAATTACAGTGCTGAAATAATAAACTGTAGATTTCCATGAAAAGATTCCTCACAAGTACCAAGAAAAAGTACAACTAATCGTAAGCGTAACATTAAGGCTCACTCCAATCGATCACATGTTCAACTAAATTCCAATTCAAGGCTGTGGTCTACAAAAAATTACTAGGAGCCTCAAGGTTCCTAACCATATGCATGATATCCTGGGTGGCCAGCACTTAAGCTTATACGAAAACAGTAAATTTTTTCAGTCGCCCAAAGGCAAAAGTTGACTTTTACCACTTTTTTGACATTGAAACATACAGTAATAAGTTAAAAGAGGCTCACCGATTTTGCTTGTTGACAAACTTTTCATGCCTCTACCACTTTGCCTCTCAGTTGAAGATGTTCTTGCTTTGGTGAGTTTATTGGATGACGTCTTGTATGAAACACCTCCAATAACCACTTCTTTATTTAACTTCTGCAAACAAGCAGCATTAGGAAAAATTAGTATTATGATAAAATTAAAAAAAAAAATGATTTAAACGTTACAGTGCAAGGAAGTTGTTCTAAATAGTTTTTTCTCTCCCCCCCCCCCCCCCCCCCCTCCCTTAATCAACAGATTTTCAGACTAAAATGGAACCATTATGAAACAGGGTGCAAAGAAAACCAATTTTTGAGCTAGCCTTCTGGGCAAGCTGAAACTATGATGTACTAGTCCAAAAGCCATTCTCACCTCCACCTCTCCCACAGTATAGCTAGTATGACTGATGTCCTTGAAAAGATGACAATAATTTCATCTCTTACAGTAGATGTGTGATTAGAATTTCTTGTAGATTCACCCCCTCCCACCACACCCACCCACTCAAAAAACGGTTGCCTGTCAGGCAGGTAAAGGCTAAAGCCCACTAGCCCAAATGCCAAATCCACTAGCCCCAGACTATCAGATACAACTTTCTTTGCATGCTGTAAAAGCAATTTATCATACATGTACAGGGTAACTGCATCAACAACAGTTTGTTGAAACAATCATGCACTCAAACCTTTCAAAAGCCAAACATATTTAATTCTCAGTATTGAAATATTCACTGATTATCAACATCATGCTCTCCTTCCCTTTCTTTTATTAAAGACATTTTCTACTATTGTTGTCTAGTCGTTTCAGACGGGGTTTTTAAGCTTTTTTGTGTCCAGTTCTATCCTTTAATATTATAGTTACATGTTTTTGTTTTTTTTGTTTCTTTGTTTGTTTGCTTGTTTAGGTGTTCATGTACATGTACTGTAGAAGGGGACAAGAAAGGAGAGAATTTTTCATGTCCCAATGTTTTCCCACTGTTAATATATTGGTCGTAAATCTACATTTACATTTTGGAGGGCAACATCTGACAAACTACCCCTGCTACAAACTAGTCTTTACTTCAGTCGCAGCTTTGTTAATGTGTTTGTTGGTTTGTTTTATTGGTTGCTGTTCTCACACAAGTATCATCTATGCAGATATTTGTTTTTTCATTTTTACATGTACAATGTATGTTTTAACCACAACATAATTTATTTTGCTGCAATATAATTTTTTTTTATATTTTATATTTTTTCTCTGATGGATTGCTATTTTGTGCTTACAAGCACTTGATTGTTTGCTGCATGTTCTAACACATGTTAACATGTCTATTCTTTTTTTCTTGCAGCATTATTTTTAACTAGTGGCTTTTTTGAACATACATCAATACTAAATGTACATATGCCTCTGTAATGTTTCTTTATGTGCATGTACATGTAGCTACAGAGTGTAGTACAGTAGCATAAACATAATTACTTTGAAGCTTTGTGGAACTACATTGTTAAGACTCTGACTCTGACTTTCTTGATCAGTGGACAGGAGGGGGACAGGAGAATAATACCACACTGATGTTGTGCCAGAATGCCAGAAATGAGCTGGCTACTGGTCACAAATTATATGTACAAAGTGCATACCCTTCTCTACATGACTGTATGTAAAACTGTAAATGTAATCAGGGTCTAGAAGTGTGCAGTCTAATATAATATGATGAGGCATATAGTAATTATATATTTCAATAACAACTACAACTTGATGAAATAGATCCGATTTTCTCATCTTCGTAAATGCGAACATTGACGGCCATGCTAGAAGCTTGTACACTGTTGGAAGGATGAGAGTCAAAGATCCTCTCTTAAATTATACACCTGAAGGTATGTGTATCAAAAGAGGAAGCATTTTATGTCAGTTACAATGTACATGTACATGTAGCCCAGGCCACTATAGGATTGTGGAAATGAAAATAATGTCAATCAAACCCATTGTTAACTGGCCAGATACATGTAATAAACATTACAAAATATATGCTTTGAAAGAAAGTGATCTCAAAATTTACTGCAATATAGAATTAGACCAGTCACTTCACCAGAAGTGAATTAATATACATACATGTAATATACTGTAGTATTATCAATATGTGCATAATATGCATTATGTATGTTAAGTTTTTGTATACAGTCATGTAAATGTACATGTTGGCAGAGACAAATATTTATTATAGTCTCTTAAAACAAAAAAGTGCATGACTGTAGGTACTTTGAAAAATTATCAAACCTGAGCTTTAATAGCAGCTTGTTTCCTCTTTGACCTCACAAACCTGTATCTGGAAAAGTCCAGTTAAAAAAGAAGCAAATGTCAGGAAACATAATTGAACACTAAGATGTGTATACAACAATTTGTGCAGCAAACAGGTATACACCCCAAAGCACATGTACTGTTCACATGTATATAATTACCCTCTTAACAGACACGTCTAGTTTCTAACAAAACAAATCCAAATTTTACTCCAGAAACATATCCTCTTTTGATATACATGTAAGTAAATGCAAAATTTAATTAGATAATTCTACAGTACCTTGTTACATGTACATATCATAAGAAATTACATGTTTGCTAGACAATCAAAGAAGACAGTTACATTTCAGCTTCACTACGGGACAGACAGAACACAATATGATCCACTACTGTAGGTTTATTTTGCATGTCTTGACCAAGCACCAGAGTACTTCAGTGTACAACCTAGTACAGACACTGATATAATCTTTCACATGAAATGTTACAATTTAATTTATAACTCATTATGATAAGATCAAATTCACATTCACAATTTCCACTTGGCTACTAATTACCAAAAGGTAGACCATACACATACCGCTCAATCAATCCTGTAGAGGATCTTCTTGACAAAGCTCTTGATTGACCTTTCCTCCTGTCTAACTTTAAAGCACTCTGAGACCTCCACACACTAGAAGTCTGCAAAACAGACCACAGGTGTCTTGTTACAGAATGCAATGAACCTTGATTGAATACAGAGTATGCACAGAACTAGGGTCTGTAGCACATACATGTACTACAGAACTGCACTTCCATTCCCTATCCCCTGAACTTTGCCTTGATGTCAGTCATGATTTTTCTGTTTTTTAGCTACATGTAGTTTGGACAACATACATGTATGTACATTGTAGATCAGGGCTTAAAATAGTAAACAAATATAAAATTACAGAGCTGGGTGATGCTGATCTGTTTTGCCATACACTTGAGTTGTATCACATTAAAATTAACAGCCAGGGTTTGGTCTTTGGCAGTTCAAAACTACAACTGTCTGGTAAAATTTTTGATCTTTTCTACCATAAGAATAGAAAACTCCAGGGTTATGATTCCTTTGAGTTTCCTTGTAGCTTCTTTTATCTTATGGAGTTTTGCTTTTATTTTCACTACTTTATATGTAGATGAATACTAAAGAAATGCTATTAAAACGTGAATTAAAATGAAAAATTAATTAAATTGAAATATGACTGTGAATTCATTTTTTTCAATTTACTTATTTTATTTTCATTTTATTATTGGTTACTATAGTGTTTTTAGGGGTAGTACATGTAAAAATAGGGGGTCCATGGACCCAGTCCATATTTTGATGGACCCGGTCCATGGACCTGGTCCACAGAGGGGGTCCCTGGACCAGGGGGCCATGTTTTGTACTCTCCCAACATCACGGGCTCATCAAGGATACTCAGCCGTAAGTACAGGTGTTACAGGTTAAGGCCCTTAATGACAGCCCTGAGTGGTACAGTGGAACCCCACCTTATGGACATTCCATCGATACCTTATTCTGGGCTGAACCAAAGGTGTCCTTACTTTTTTCCTTATTTAAAGAACCTCTAAAACACAGATAACCTGCCTATACACAGCCAGATTTTTGTGGTCCATTGGTGGAATTAACAGGGTTCCACTGTTTTTACTTGACCCTAGCAGGAAGTCTGCAATCCTTTAGAGTGTCTACTGAAGAGTAAAAGTCGATTCAGCTGTGTCAGTTCAGCTATGCCTCATTGACTAATCACTCAAAAAAACTCAGGCTTGTAGCGCAATTGTTACCTATACTGTCATGTCCAATCATGTACATATACAGTACTTCAAATACTTGAGGGGCTTATTCACAACTCAACCTTGGAGGCCTGCATTTATTTACCACTGACATTTGACCAAAAAAATAAATATTATTAAGATATTTTAAGATGATCACTTGTACTTTCTCACAACATTGCATCTCATCATAAAATACTGTACCTGATTTTGGAGTATTTTCTTTTGCGTTGAATGCACTGGTCCTCTGATCAATTTAGTTTTGTTAGCTGTTTTCAGCATTCCTCGTTTCTGACCAGCACTGCCACTAGCAGTATTTTCTTTCCTTAGCACGAACGGATTCAGTTTTCTTTTGATTCCAACTTCAACAGAAGCTACAGAATCTCTAGGTTTGGTCCATTTTAGCTTGGATCTTGAAGGCTTGGATTTCTTGGTACTTTTCTTTTGACCAAGACTGCTGGAAGCAGTTGGCTTTGGTTTTGACCACTTAAAAGATCCTGGAACATTTGATGGAACTTTGTGGTGAACATTTGATGAACTTGGTAACTGCCCTGTACTTGGAAAGTTTGATTTCTTAGCGTAAAGTTCTGAATCTGAGAGGCTCTTACTATTCGCAGAAGACAAAACTGTGCTTACACTTGGCTTTGACCACTTCAGTGCTGATTTCTGAGCAACAGCTGATTTGGGAATAGATACACAAAATGTTTCCTTTTTATTCAAAACATAAGGATTCTTCGCTGTGACTTGATGGCTTGGCTGTGAAGATGAAGAGTGATGAGAAATTAAAGATTTCTGCGGCAATCCTGTCTGCAGAGGTGATGATACTGTACTTGATGATATTGTTGGGGTTGATGTCGATAACTTAGAATAATTTTGTCGTGTAATAGCTTTGTTGTTAGCAAATGATTTTGTGCCTTTAGCACATGTAGTCCAAGATGACCCAGACAATCCAGAAATGCCAGGAACATTCAACCCAGTCACTGTGGTGTTTGAACCTGGAATCGAGAAACACAGCCAGTAAATTTGCAGACTTCTGAACGACTAGGAAAGGATGCTTTTATTTCTTTTATTTCCTGTTTGAATATCAAGCTAAACATTAACATCAATGCAAGAGGTAAGTAAACCTTGTTGTTATATTGCTGGAGATAAGTTGAATCTAATGCGTGCTCTCACTGGCTGATTTATGGTCACATGACAAAAAAACACTGATCCCTTGGCCAACAGTTTTGTTTACCCACAAATCTTGATGTTTTCCTTGACTTCGTCTTGGGAAACATCGAGATTCAAAGGAAAACTGAACTGTTTCTGCCGGGAACAGCAATTAAGTGTATATTAGTGTATATTATACCACTCATTACAAAACCCCAAAAACTCAACAAAAAAGTTGGAAAGTACATGTATTTCTTAACAAAATGCATGTCACCTACCTCTGGGGGTTAAAGATAATTAAGGTATTCATTGAAGAAGTCTTAAATAAACTTTGTGGGCTGAGATGAGCACATTACAACTTTAAAACCTTATACATGTACATACATACATGTACCTTACAGTGGACAGCAATTAATGCCATGAGCAACAAGTGTGCATTGCACAGCAACAGGAAAATACACAGGCAGCCCAAGCTCACGATGCGAGGAGTTATTATTATTTTTTTTAATCTTTATACGAATGTTCAGCACGTGGTAATAGTAGATGTCGGCGGTGAATATGTCACGTTTCATGCGCTGAACATTTGCATAAAACTTAAACAAAAGAAATAAATAATAACTCCTTGCCTCCTGAGCTTGGGCCACCTGTGGAAAATATCTTGTAAGTGCATTATCTGTCGTTACTACTAAAAATGATGGATTTACAGTTTAGTTCTGCCAAAGATAGATACTGCACAGTTCTCTCAATTTAAAGCAGTACATAGTGCATATTGTAGGTGTGAGAATTACATTGTGTAGTTACTGTTATGTTCTGATGAAGTACCTCTTATACAATCCTGGAACTCATACCTGAACTGACACTGGTCATCTTCCTTCGATCCAGACTATATGAATGGTTGTGGGGAGGGCCTGTTGCTGGTCGCTTCTTTTCTTCACCTGGCTGTTTAGGTTTTTGCCAAGAAAATGAGCTTTTACTCTTATTTGATATGTTATTATTAATTGAAGAAACATGGCTTACATGTGATGTTGCCTGTTTATGGGATTTGATGAGATCTACATTGTATAGAAGCAAAACAGAAAGTAAGTATGACTGTACAAAGATAATACCTTTGTAATACAGTTTGGATTTTGCAAGCACTCTGACTGATTGGTAAGAAAGCTATGTTTTGAACATGGAAAGCACTGGAAATAAACAATGTAAAAGTTGTCATCAGATGTTGTCCCACCAAATTTTTAAAATTATCCAACTATCTTTGCATTATGATAAGACATCATAACCGAACACCAATTTTAAGACCTTGTTTGCTAATTTCAAATATGTTAAGAATCACAAATCATATCGATCTGTGGTTTATTTTCCTTAATTACATGTAACTTCTCCAGACTTGAATAAAATGAGAAAAAAAAACCAAGATCCTTTGCCAAGTGCATGAAGTTTGCACTACATGTCTATGTACTAGCAAACTTCCTGTGTAGTCGTTTACTTTTGTGCGATGACTGATTCCAGCTACAACTTTCATTTTCTAAATTTCCTGTCAAAGTACTTTGAATTCTTGAATACAAATTATCAAGCTTAAGCTTATGGCCTTTACCCTTCCTTTCTTTAAACTTTAACAGCATTAATAAAGTCTTTGCTGCTTTGCTCTGCAGACTCTGTGTGTGGAGCTGAACCTATGCTTTCACTCTTTCAGTCACTGTGACCGGTTTACCACCTCAACGCTTAGAATAAGCAACTTGATCACAAAAAAACGATGAATTTTCCTCTCTTGACAAATGCTTTTTTAATGGGTTTACTGGGACAATAAACCCACACGGGATGTTGGGAGCTTTTTTTTTTTTCATGTGGATTTATTGTACCAGTAAACCCATGAAAAGAGCAGCCTATTACTCAAACACCAAAGTTGGCTACTATGGACATTGGCAAGCAAAAAATAAACTTTGAAATTTGAAATGAATACCCCAAGAGTGTACTACATGTGTAACTTCTATATAAGAGGAAGACGTTTGCGTACAAGAGAAACATTTGTAGGCAAACAATACAGAAACTCTAGGTGCATGTAGCTTGTGCTTCAATTCGTGATAACTATAAGCATTTCATACCAACACGTCTGTCTGAAAGTATACAAAATGTATGTAACCAGTGGGTTCATCTAAGTTGTATGTACGTGTATGTAATGTATCTCTTCCCTGGTTAGTTTTTCGTATATTTTTTCAGTCCTCATAGTGCACCAAAACCACGGAATATAAACTTTGTATTTTCAAGTCTTGGAAAAGTTACCGACACAGTTCATAATTATAAACCGTTCCCTTCCCCTCAACATGAGTCGATCGAAGATCAAGGAGAACATTGTCTTTCGATCTGTATTTAAAAATATTTTACCAGCCAAATTTCACTTTGAAGCTTTCGGATGAATATATGCGCTCGGAGATAATTTATATCCCTTTGAAAGTAATTTTCAAGCTTTACCCTCTGTCGTTTACAAGTCAAAACAGCACAATCGACTGAGCACGAAAAACTAAAATGCTTTTAGCTGTATATGTTTTACGAAATACAAAATGGAGTGCAAGGTTTACATGTTTTCAGTGAAATGAACTTCATTTAACCGTATTACTAATACCAAATACTAAAGAGATAACAAATAGTTCGATAAAATAGCACAAACGTAACTAGAATTGTAAAGCAACGAAAACTTACCCGTCAGGAACGCTATTTTTGCTTTCAGCTTGGACGAGTCGTCCGCCATGATGTTTGTGCCACAGAAGAACTGCTGACGTCCTGACGTCCTGACGTCATAAACGCTTGTAAAATTACAGGAATACCACTTTCTCAAACTGCACAGCCTACCAGAGAAACTGCAGCATGTCAGAATATAGAATATCGGTATGGTTTTTTTCTTTTCTTTTTTTTTTTTTTTTCGAAGAATGTGAGTATTTTTTACTAAAGATTTTGAACCCAGAGACCCACACCTTCGTTGATTTGCTTTGGCAGATGGCACTTTTCAAAGGAAATTGGCTCCCGGTTTTCGTAAATGGTAAATTCACTTTCTTTCAGTTTGTGTGTGAAAAGATGTGTTCAGTCCCAAACCTTCTTTAAGACGTTTTGACATGGTTGTATTGTTAACTAAGAGGAAATGGACTCAAATTGAGTCATTTACATCTTTACCAGCGGAGATATTACCCAAAACAAGAGCTTCAGGAGTTTGTAACGGCGCACCATTCGTCCAACTTTGCACGTTGAATGACACATTTAAATCAGGTCAATTAGGATTTGGCCTGTAATTCCTGATTCAGTAATTGGTTTTAAAGCTTTTATTTCAGAAATGTAGAAAAGAACAATGTATATACATGTAAATATTAACTTAATTTATGACACCTCACTCTTTTGATCATGAGTTATTTATTTTTAAACTTCTAGTTCTGTATTTACTGTTTTAGAAGTATACCATGGCCAATTAGAGATTGCCGATATTGAATCTGCATCCCGTCCGATGCTAGAAAAAAATGCGTCAGGTCTCCCAAATATTTATAGAATAAAATAAATTGAATTGAAGTCCGTCCCAAACTGTATTAAAATATAAGATTGAAACAGTTAGTCAAAACACATATTTATTAGTCAATGGTTATTTCCGGCTTGTTATTGGAGAACTGTGAAATTTAATCATCGCTATCTCACTGAAGAGTGTTTTATATACAGATCATTGAAAATTTTGTTTACTAAAGCTCTTAGCATAATGTATTCGTAAACGCGTAGCTATGTAAATTGGGCTCAAGTTAACTTGTGGCCACCGAAATGCTACGAAAAGTAAGGTCCTTGTCAATTTTCATCGCCTTAAAGATATGCTATCGTGTTCACTGCTATGAGGAAAGTCAGAGTCTCACTTTTGCTGCGACTGGAGATTTCGGTGGAACTCCATTTCCACCGTATTACACAAACACGCAAAAGAAAGTAGCAAAGGTTATGGGAGAGGTATGTGTTGGAAGAGAATTAACATAGCTGACTTTACAGCCGCGTTTTATCATTAGAATTATAACCCTTCCTATATAGCATAAGACGTGAGTTTTGTTGAAAAGCTAAACGTCAACGGCTGAAGGACTTGTATGAGAATTTTGGTATGTCGATTTGGTATATATTCGAAGCACATGTCCAGCCGGGCCGCAAAAATTTTCAATCGTCTTCAGTAAGANCCAAGATCCTTTGCCAAGTGCATGAAGTTTGCACTACATGTCTATGTACTAGCAAACTTCCTGTGCAGTCGTTTACTTTTGTGCGATGACTGATTCCAGCTACAACTTTCATTTTCTAAATTTCCTGTCAAAGTACTTTGAATTCTTGAATACAAATTATCAAGCTTAAGCTTATGGCCTTTACCCTTCCTTTCTTTAAACTTTAACAGCATTAATAAAGTCTTTGCTGCTTTGCTCTGCAGACTCTGTGTGTGGAGCTGAACCTATGCTTTCACTCTTTCAGTCACTGTGACCGGTTTACCACCTCAACGCTTAGAATAAGCAACTTGATCACAAAAAAACGATGAATTTTCCTCTCTTGACAAATGCTTTTTTAATGGGTTTACTGGGACAATAAACCCACACGGGATGTTGGGAGCTTTTTTTTTTTTCATGTGGATTTATTGTACCAGTAAACCCATGAAAAGAGCAGCCTATTACTCAAACACCAAAGTTGGCTACTATGGACATTGGCAAGCAAAAAATAAACTTTGAAATTTGAAATGAATACCCCAAGAGTGTACTACATGTGTAACTTCTATATAAGAGGAAGACGTTTGCGTACAAGAGAAACATTTGTAGGCAAACAATACAGAAACTCTAGGTGCATGTAGCTTGTGCTTCAATTCGTGATAACTATAAGCATTTCATACCAACACGTCTGTCTGAAAGTATACAAAATGTATGTAACCAGTGGGTTCATCTAAGTTGTATGTACGTGTATGTAATGTATCTCTTCCCTGGTTAGTTTTTCGTATATTTTTTCAGTCCTCATAGTGCACCAAAACCACGGAATATAAACTTTGTATTTTCAAGTCTTGGAAAAGTTACCGACACAGTTCATAATTATAAACCGTTCCCTTCCCCTCAACATGAGTCGATCGAAGATCAAGGAGAACATTGTCTTTCGATCTGTATTTAAAAATATTTTACCAGCCAAATTTCACTTTGAAGCTTTCGGATGAATATATGCGCTCGGAGATAATTTATATCCCTTTGAAAGTAATTTTCAAGCTTTACCCTCTGTCGTTTACAAGTCAAAACAGCACAATCGACTGAGCACGAAAAACTAAAATGCTTTTAGCTGTATATGTTTTACGAAATACAAAATGGAGTGCAAGGTTTACATGTTTTCAGTGAAATGAACTTCATTTAACCGTATTACTAATACCAAATACTAAAGAGATAACAAATAGTTCGATAAAATAGCACAAACGTAACTAGAATTGTAAAGCAACGAAAACTTACCCGTCAGGAACGCTATTTTTGCTTTCAGCTTGGACGAGTCGTCCGCCATGATGTTTGTGCCACAGAAGAACTGCTGACGTCCTGACGTCCTGACGTCATAAACGCTTGTAAAATTACAGGAATACCACTTTCTCAAACTGCACAGCCTACCAGAGAAACTGCAGCATGTCAGAATATAGAATATCGGTATGGTTTTTTTCTTTTCTTTTTTTTTTTTTTTTCGAAGAATGTGAGTATTTTTTACTAAAGATTTTGAACCCAGAGACCCACACCTTCGTTGATTTGCTTTGGCAGATGGCACTTTTCAAAGGAAATTGGCTCCCGGTTTTCGTAAATGGTAAATTCACTTTCTTTCAGTTTGTGTGTGAAAAGATGTGTTCAGTCCCAAACCTTCTTTAAGACGTTTTGACATGGTTGTATTGTTAACTAAGAGGAAATGGACTCAAATTGAGTCATTTACATCTTTACCAGCGGAGATATTACCCAAAACAAGAGCTTCAGGAGTTTGTAACGGCGCACCATTCGTCCAACTTTGCACGTTGAATGACACATTTAAATCAGGTCAATTAGGATTTGGCCTGTAATTCCTGATTCAGTAATTGGTTTTAAAGCTTTTATTTCAGAAATGTAGAAAAGAACAATGTATATACATGTAAATATTAACTTAATTTATGACACCTCACTCTTTTGATCATGAGTTATTTATTTTTAAACTTCTAGTTCTGTATTTACTGTTTTAGAAGTATACCATGGCCAATTAGAGATTGCCGATATTGAATCTGCATCCCGTCCGATGCTAGAAAAAAATGCGTCAGGTCTCCCAAATATTTATAGAATAAAATAAATTGAATTGAAGTCCGTCCCAAACTGTATTAAAATATAAGATTGAAACAGTTAGTCAAAACACATATTTATTAGTCAATGGTTATTTCCGGCTTGTTATTGGAGAACTGTGAAATTTAATCATCGCTATCTCACTGAAGAGTGTTTTATATACAGATCATTGAAAATTTTGTTTACTAAAGCTCTTAGCATAATGTATTCGTAAACGCGTAGCTATGTAAATTGGGCTCAAGTTAACTTGTGGCCACCGAAATGCTACGAAAAGTAAGGTCCTTGTCAATTTTCATCGCCTTAAAGATATGCTATCGTGTTCACTGCTATGAGGAAAGTCAGAGTCTCACTTTTGCTGCGACTGGAGATTTCGGTGGAACTCCATTTCCACCGTATTACACAAACACGCAAAAGAAAGTAGCAAAGGTTATGGGAGAGGTATGTGTTGGAAGAGAATTAACATAGCTGACTTTACAGCCGCGTTTTATCATTAGAATTATAACCCTTCCTATATAGCATAAGACGTGAGTTTTGTTGTAAAGCTAAACGTCAACGGCTGAAGGACTTGTATGAGAATTTTGGTATGTCGATTTGGTATATATTCGAAGCACATGTCCAGCCGGGCCGCAAAAATTTTCAATCGTCTTCAGTAAGATGCCAAAGGAAAGCATCAACGTAGACATCAACGTAACTTTGCAAGAGCAACTTTGAAGTGTGACTAATTCAGGCTTCTCTTAACCTTAGAAGAAAAGAAACTACGGCCGAGTTTGCGCTGGTTTTAATAGCAGGCACGCGCACCTTCCTATGGCGCCCATCTCTCCATGATGCTAGAAGTTTCCCATATACCGCGATCACACTAAAGCTCCCTTCAATATCCATCCCGGTTAAAAGAGAAGTTCAATTGTTCTCAACTTGCCTCAAGACGGTCAATGCGACAGAATCTTTCGGGCGCCGGTATAGTCAAACTCCATTTCTGAACTTCAACTGGCTAACCTTGCCAAGAGACTTCTCAATTCTTAATTCGGCATATAGGCCTTCGGGAAATATATGTTTTTTGTTACTATAATTGTTGTTTTAGTTCTGTGAAGTGCCGGGCATGATCCACAAATGGAATCCTGATTGGACTAGAGTGTTTGAATTCAGGGGAGTTGATAAATCCACGCGCAACCGAAGTCAAATTTGCAAGCATTTCTCAGTACAACGAAACATGCACACTTTAAGCGGGTATCGACGCTTATATTATGTTTGTTACGCCAATAAGTCCAAGTTCATAAAACAGATGGCCAGAAAAAAAGATGACCGGTTTATACATGTAATTTTTAAAATTCATACACATTCTAATATGTTGCCATGCGCCCTCAGAACATAGGAAAGTATCCAAATTGTACCAAATTAAAATTTAACCACAACTGACATACGTGATATGTCAAACACGAAAGACCGCGTGTTTGACCGCATTTCCAAAACC